TGCAGCTGGGTAAAGGGTGTCCCACCTCCTATGGGGGTGACCCAATTGTCCTCTGTTTTAAAACATGGGAGGCACAGTAAGAAAACCCCCCATGCCGGTTGAGCGAGACAGCAGGACCATCCTGTCTCATTGCAGCAGTTTTTTACAGGCAAGAAGCTGTTTCAAAGAGGTCTGTGCAGTGTAAGGTGCCATGAAGCAACCGGTGTTTCAGGTTTGCAGTGAGCGCTGGGGATGTTTGCATGGGCTCAGCATTTGCTCGCTGTGTTTCAGCCCACCTGGCTGATGCTTGTTGCACAGGGATGGCAGCGGGCAGCCGGAGCAGAATCATAGAATCATAGAATCGTTTAGGTTGGAAAAGACCTTTAAGACCATCCAGTCCAACCATTAACCTAACATTACCAAGTCCATCACTAAACCAATTAAGACTGACTGGTCGGGTGGGGTTCAGCCCTCCGGTGCCATTTGCAGCCCAATGTGTGACTTGGCACTGCCGGTGCATGGTGGGGACAGGCAGCAGTTGTTTCACCCATGCACTGTGGCCTTGGGCTGCCAGGAAGGCACATGGTGGCTGACAGCCGTGTCCTGTGGTCACAGGGAGACCCAGCGCAGGAGGGAAGCAGGCACTCATAACCCTGCAGTCAGGGAGTGCAGGGTTCACATCAAAAAGTGACTTTCCCTGTTTGCAGAAGGTGAAATCTGCAGATGTAGACTATAAAATGGTGTGGTTTTCAGAAAGAGAACACCCTAGATACCATGAAAGCTTGAAACAGCTACAGCAGCCCTATAAGGAGCAAGTAGCTGCTGTCCTCAAGCAGCTCCTACTTGGCTTTGTAGCTCTGATGATTCAGAAATTGTTCTGCCAGATCACAACAAATCCAAAAGCCTCCCAAAATAGACTCCCAGATAGGATCCCTCCTTCTCTTTCAGGATTTTCCATCTTTTCCCAAGCTCTCCCAGCCCATCCCTGAACACGGGCCTAGATGTGCACCATCTGGAGAAGAGCCTTTGCAGGGCAGCCTCTGTGCCCAGAGGGCTGTGGGAGGAGGCGCGGGGTGCTTAGCGGAAAAGGAGTAAATCTCATTAAGGGTTTTAACATTTATGGCCAGCGAGATAATGAAGGAAGGTAATTTGGGATAGCTTTATTGCAGTTATCATAATGTTTCCCTGAAGCACAAAGATAAAAGTCAGTGGCTAATGTCCATAAGGAGTTTTTAATCGCTCTTTTTTTTTTTTTTTTTTTTTAAGCAATAGCCATTGCAGTCAAAGACGGGTGTCATTTTATGAACACAGAGAAGGCAATTACATGACGTTGAAACCCAGAATTACAAGACTCTCAAGACTCACGTGGCCGTCATGACCCATGCTGGACACCCACTGCAGTTGACAGGAATCCCTTTGTCCCAACATTAAATTGTTTTACTATGAGGAGCAGTGCTCTCCCCGTGTTTATCTCGCAGGGACCTGTATTTAGAGACGTCCTGGCAGATCTCCTCTTCTTCCCCTCCTTTATTTTCTGGCTTTACTTTCTCATTTTACCTTGTTCTGCAATGTAAGAAGAAGGGTAGATGAGGGACCAGGAATGGGGGAGGCCTAAAATGAGGGAAAACACATAACTTTTCTTTTTTTTTCTCTGCACTAATACTTATGGAACTCACTGCCACAGGGCATGACTGGAGCCAAGCGGTTCCTGTGCACAACTCACCAGGAAACATGCTTGCACAAAACTCTTCAGCATCTTTGCTTAAGACTTATATTAAGAGTGGATTGGCAAGACATTTTTTTGTGGCCCAAAGCTTGTTGTTTGCTATGATTAGAGATTTTTATTTCATCCTCCGAAACATGGTGTGACGAGTTTTCTATTTCCTCAAAGAGGAATCCTAATTTTTAACATAGTGCAGCACCTGCTTTGCAGGGCTAAACAAACCTGTTGTCCTGGAGAGTTTGCAGCTCCAGTGCCCACTCTAGCAGCCATCACCCATGGGCACACTGTACCCTGAGATGGGTCCACACGCACACCAGACCCCCCCGCCCCCGAACCCAAATCGACTGCAGAGGCCAGTCAGGCGGTGGTGATTTAAAAAAAAAAACAAACAACACAACAAGCAAAGACATTTCAAAAGCTGTCATTTTACTTCCCCTTGCTGTAACAGCCTAATAGCTCATTATTTCCCAAATGTTTCCAGCGAAGTTATATAGATTTTTTTTTTCCCACCAGTTCTGAAATTGTACTTTTTTCTAAGGAAGCACATTACTTTGCCATTTCAAACAGCCCCAGACACTCACCCTAGAAGATGACTGAGACTCCCAATATGAGTTATCAATGATGTCTTCCAGACAAAAAATAGGATAACCTGGACTGGCTTGCGACTAAAACAGCTGACTGGAAGTCAGGGCCACAGCCTCTCTGCACAGCCCTTATTCTTGTTATGGTGGCACTGAGCAAAGCCATCATCTTGCACAGAGCCCATTTTGGCCTGGGGCTTTGTGGCTGGATAACGGTGCCCTGAAGATTATTTGTCTGATGGTATTGACTCTACATCCAGGTCTGGAACACACAAATGGAGGCAAAGCCCTGCTGTGGAACAGCGGGGAAGAAGAGAAAGGGTGGTGGGCTGCATAATGGCGGCTGCGGTGCCTTTGTTGTCTCACAAAGGGAGTTCATTACCTGGTGTGCAACAATCCAATCCACACACTGAGTCGAGATACCAATGTTGTTATAAAAAATACAAAGCTAGCACACTGAATGAGACTTCCTGCGCCTTGTTTATATGCAAAACTTACAGAGTTAGTAATCATTCTTTTTACGATGCTTGGTTAGTAATTACCATCCTATCTGCTATTGGTCAACTTTATTCTAATTAGCCTCGCTTGCTATGTAAATTAGCACACATACTGAGTCGAGATACCAATGTTGTTATAAAAAATACAAAGCTAGCACACTGAATGAGACTTCCTGCGCCTTGTTTATATGCAAAACTTACAGAGTTAGTAATCATTCTTTTTACGATGCTTGGTTAGTAATTACCATCCTATCTGCTATTGGTCAACTTTATTCTAATTAGCCTCGCTTGCTATGTAAATTAGCACACATGCTCCTTGGGGGGGGTGTGCGCTTTTATCAGTTTCTGAGTACTTCTTCCAGGTCTATTTGCTCCGGGATGCCTTTGGTTAAAGGATACTGAATGTTTGTTCTTCTGATTAGGGATGACTAAGTGGCCTTGGCAGCTTACAAAACCATCTTGGCCTGGTATGATGTTAGCTAAGTTTCAGAGTTAGCCTCCAACAGCTTCCGTCACACAAGCATCTCTGAGAGCCGGGGGGGCATCGCCTGAGGAGACCGCCTGCGAGGCGGACTACAACTCCCATCATGCTCTGCGGCCTGGCGGCCCCTACGAGTGAGCCCCGCGCGGGGAACTACATCTCCCATCCTGCACCGCTCCACCCGCCGCTTTCCTATTGGCTGGCTGCCGGGCTGTCCCCAATTCTCG